TTTGAATCTCAACACAAGTCTGATGTTGCACTTGATAAAGCCTCATCTGAAACAGCTGTTTGTTTGTTTGTTTGTTTGTTTGTTTGTTTTCAGGTTCGTTGGTTACCCTGGAAACTACAACACTCTGTTCGGAGTTCGCAATGAAGACGTGAGTCCGCTGCAGTGATGATGGTGAAGTTATGAGTTTGCTTTGGAGTCTGTAAAATGAGTTTGATGTGTTGCAGTGAACAGAACCAGAGCAGGTCAGCTGGCAGGAGACCAGCGCCGTCCATCACCTGATTAGTTCACAGACAGGTGTGGATTTATAAACTAATAAACATCAGGTGTGTCTATCAGTGGGACAGGTGAGATGATTCATGTTGTCGCAGCAGACAGAGACGAGTGCCTCATACAGGTAATCTCACCTGAGCAGGTTAATGCAGGGATCCGTTTGTTCGTCGGCTGAAACCAGAACCTTTCACCTCAGAGTTCTTGCGTTGGTCAGACTGCAGATCGGCTGGAGATGGTTGTGTTGTTGGAGGAACAAACACGGTCTCTTCTGTGTCACTGTCACCTGGAGTCATGTTCAGGTGTAGCTCCGTGGACGCCTCACAGTGGCACAAACAGGCCCCAGGATGGAGCCTTGAGGTTCTCCACAGGTGACTGGGGCAGAAGAGGAGGAGCAACTTCTATCTTTAACAGAAAATAACCTGTCAGCAAAGTAGGAGGCCAAAATTTGTGCACGGTGTCGTGGACGCCCGGCTGGTCCTCCAGACGGTTCGACGGAGGCGTCGGTTGTACCATGATTTCACAATGCTGTGATTGTTTTGTTTCTGAGATTTGTTTTTGGATGAAACAAATGATTGAACCACAATAAGACAGATGGAACGATGTTTCCTCACAGTGTGGAGCAGGCGGATGTCTTATTGAACTGGCTCAGGAGCTGCTGGTCATCATGGTGGGAAAACAGCTGATCAACAACATCCAGGAGTTCTTCTCCCCGTAAGCGGCCAACACACACTAACACACAACCACAGGCAGCGGTGGCGTGAGGGAAGTACAATGACGGTGAGTTTCTGGCAGGAAGCTGAAGTCGTGGTGGCAGAAGAGGAAGCTGAGACCTCAGCTAAAGGAGAAGAAGAAGAAGGGAGCAAATGAAGAGGAGGCTCAGGGAGACGAGGAGGAAGAGGTCCGTCCCTGGGAGGACGACTACCAGCTGCTGGTCTGTGAGGGACTCTTCAGCGAATATCTGGAGATGGGTAAGTCCTGTTCCTCCTCAGACACCCAGAAGCCAGCCTCAAGTTCTCAGGATCACTCCGTTACCTGGCAACAGTTCTGATAGGTGCATCCTGGGAAATGTAGTGTTTAATATAAAACAGTTTTGTCCTCCTCAGTGCTGCAGTTTGGTTTCATCACCATCTTCGTGGCGGCGTGTCCTCTCGCACCTCTCTTCGCTCTCATCAATAACTGGGTGGAGATTCGTTTGGACGCTCACAAGTTTGTGACGGAATATCGCCGCCCGGTGGTGGAGCGAGCTCAGGACATCGGCATCTGGTTCCCCATCCTGCAGTTCATCACACACATGGCCGTCCTCAGCAACGTAAGTCTCTGCATGTCAGTGAGGACGTGTTGGTGAAAGCGCCGCGTCAGCAGAACGTGAACTTTGTGTTTCCAGGCGTTCCTCATAGCGTTCACCTCGTCCTTCCTGCCTCGGCTGTACTACCGCTACACCAGAGACAGCACGCTGAGCGGCTTCATCGACTTCACTCTGGCCACATCGCCACACGTCTTCAGCCAGCGGCACCACAACGCCTCCTGCAGGTCGGTGACGGCGCTGCGGCTGCGTGTGCTGCTGCTGGTGGAGATACTGAGGATCCTCTGGTGTCACTGCAGGTGTTTGACTCGATGTTTGTTGTGGTAAATCGCAGGTATCGAGGCTTCAGGGATGAAAACGGTGAATACCTGCCAGAGTACTTCCACCTCCTCGCTATACGTCTGGGTTTTATCATCGTCTTTGAGGTCGGTGTCTCTCACCCTTCAGGTTACTTTGATGCAACTGCATGTTGGAAGCTTGTAGAGATTCACCGGAGCTGTGAACTTTCACTTTCGAAGGTTAAACTATTTGCAGTCTTTGCTACGAACCAAAATGTAGCAAAAACATCCAAACATGAACTTTACTGCACATCAGTGAACGAGGAGGTCTGGATGCTGCTCAGACTTCATGGAAGGTCTTGAAGGGTTTTCCATCTCTCTTCTTCAGCATGTGGTCTTCTTCATCGGCCGCCTGATTGATCTGATGGTTCCTGACATCCCTGAAGAGGTGGAGATGAAGATAAAGAGGGAGCACTACATGGCTAAAGAGGCCCTGGCTGAGAACCAGGTACAACCAGACTGCAGCCTGTCATCAAACTGCTGCTTCAGTTGGTTCTACTTTGGTGTCACTTGTGTTTCTATCACAGATAGTTTGAGTTCTAGTTTGGGTTGTTCCAGTGTTGTGTTCTGTGTGTGCAGTCCTTGGGGAAAACTATGATTCCTGGAGATAAGGACGTCCCATCCAGCAGCCTGCGACAGCGTGGATCCAGAACTTTTCCACCACAGAGCGACTCCCCTCCACCAAACCTGACGGGGATCCCGGAGGAAACCGACCCACCAGGCAGCTTCTGAGACAAAGTGGACTCCCACTGCCTCCATATCTTCATGACTGAGACCTAACACTGCTTTATATCCTTTGTCATTGGCCCCTGTGAGACTTCTGCAACATCTCCAAGAAATAGTTAAAATCCTTAGAAGAACCAACTAGAACTTTTCAAGAACTGCAAGTACTGAGTGTGTCTACAAGATATACAGTTTTATACTTACTTTTACCTTTTAAACTAACATCCTCTGGCAAGTGCTTCCAAAGACGTCTGGCAGAGGTCTACAAACCACTAATTGCTCTGCAAAAGGTGCTGCAGATCTTCAGCATATCCAGTCTACAGGATTAACATGTTCTTCAAGAACTCTAGAAAATGTCTGTATGGACTCTCAGTCATCCAGGTCATGGTAATCCTAACAAGAAGATGAAGGTAGCTGCACTTCTTTTTGGTTCTTGAAGACACTTCATCTTCATCCAAGAGGCTTTGTTGGTTCTAACTGATGGTGTGGAGTCCCAGGTATGTGTTCTTCGCTCTAACTCACATGAGTCGAGATGTAACAGTGGTGAAGCTCCTTCCCCTGGCAGTTGGATTTACCCAGTTGATTCCCAGTCAGTTTCATCACTATTCATGCCTCAAGTCATGTGAGTCTTGGGTCATTCGAAAGCCTTGATTCAGTTGAGTTAAGGGTGAGAATAAATACCTTAGACTCCCCACCCGCCAGTTTGAACCGAGGAAGCCTCCTGGATGAAGATAATGTCTTCAAGAACCAATGAGAACTTCGGCTGCCTTCTACTGAAGCACTTAGGACTCCTCAAGGCGTTCAGTACCAGACTTCCTCTAAAGTTCTACAAAATCTATCACACATCTGCCCGACCTGTCTGGAAGGCGTCATGTTGAATCTTAACACGTCCTACAAGAGCTCTTCAAGAGGTTTACATTACTGACAAGATGTTGTAGGAAGTCTGAGACCTGCAGTGCCTCTGCTGGACCTGTACAAGATCTAAAATACCTCTGGTAGATCAAAGAACTGCAAGAGTTGTGTTATATCCCTCAAGAAGTCTACAAGAGACAGACAAGACGACCTACAAGACTTCTGGTTCATGTCTACAAAATCTGCTTAAGCAGTGATGAATCCTTAAAGGTTCTACAGCCGCAGCCACGAAGTCAACCAGAGTGAGGCTTCAGTTCGCAAACACAAGACTTTTACTGGAGCCTAAAACCTTCCAAAACTCTGTCAAAACTACCTCACAGGCAACAACAGCCTCCACAACAGCTGTACAAGACATCTCAATGAGGCTAGTTTGTCAAATATTCAGAAGAATTTCGCAGTGATTATAGAGTTTGTTGTTGGCAGTCATCCTTCACCGTGCTACTGCTCCATAAAGCTCTCACACTGGACATGGAGTTACTGTTACTGAGACACTTTCATTGTCTAGAGACCTAAATATATGTTGACACTTCTATTGATGGTTGTACTTGTTATAAATCTAAATAAATATCTTGGTGATGAATGAACTTCAGTGTTCTCATGTGAATACATTTCTTACAGGAGTCAGATGTTTGTGTTTTTATCTTCAAACCAGACTGGAAACCAAACATCATGTGTGGATTTATCTGTATTTCTGGAACCGAAGCCAAAGGTGGTTAGATTTGAAGTACTGTTTGGATCAAGAAACCCCCTCCTACCAGACTGCATGAAGTCTGGTTAACTCCAGGTGGTCTGAAGGTCCCCAATCCACCAGTGAGACCTTCTAACCTTTTCTCTTGCGTAAACAGGAATGAGATTTATTGAGTTCACCTGTAGACCCAAAGTTCAAAACTTCTACTGTCAGCTAATAAATACATCTGCAGATAAAATCTAAATACACAACAGTTGTAAATACATGGAGCATAAATCACATCAGGGAGTGCATAAAATGAAGGAAACTGATTGACTGACTGTTTTACAGTCTTCTGGAGCAGCTTTAGGATTTATGTTGAAGTGGAAAATTCAATCAGAAATCAGAAGAACAATCTGACATATGCATGTATGGTTCAATCATTTGGGTATAAAACTGAATGAAGTATAAAAACAATCTGTCAGAGTTTCACCTTGGGTTGATATTTGCAGCAACTGATTTCATGCTGTGCTCTTTATCTTTATTTCTATCTTCTGCATCCCCCTGAGGTTAAGGCTCTGGTCAACCTACACATTTTAAATGTAAAGTTTTGGTGAATTGTCCACATGAGTAACAGAGCAAATGTTCTACCAAAACAATTCCTCCATCTCTGCTTGCAGGAACCGTCTCTGCGTCCTGTTCTTAGAGCCCAAAATGTTTTGTTTTCTTTTAACCATTTGTGGCAGAGTGTCGCTGAGCTGCAGCAGCTCCGGCTGCAGGACATCGCACTAATTCAACCGCTTTCAGTGTGTTTCCACTTGTTTTCAATCAGAATCCCCCCTCCAGTTAGTTTCTTTCATTTACTAAATCGGTGTTTGTGTTTATCAAGGATTATCACTTTTTATTAAAATGTCAAAACTCAAACGTGTGTGAGCGCGTCCCGGTCAGGCGCTCTGCGGGCAGCTCGACCGTCTGGGAGTGTGACGTGTAGGACCTCCTCCTCCGACACACAGCAGCAGTAATGGCGGAGTACGACAGCTACGATGAGCGGGACCGGGCCTACGGCAGCTTCGGCGGCAGAGGGTGAGTCTCCGCTCCGCACGGCACCTTTGCGGTGCGCCACGAACATAAACCCCTACCGGACCGTCGCTGTGTTTCCCGCTGCTGTCCGCCCCGAGTCCTGGAGCAGGGCGGGCAGGCCCCGGAGCTCGACACGCCCAGCGCCTGCTGACCTGGCGGGCGGGAGTGAGGGCAGGCCGCGCAGAGCGGCTGGGAAACACCGCGGCTCCGGAGCTAACAGGCTAGCCGTTAGCAGGGGCTAGCTGCGCTCAGACAGTGAAAGAAAGGAGCCGTGCGGCGTGAACCGCCGGAGCTCCGGTGGACGGTGTTCTGTTGGTATTAACGAGCCGGTGCCGGTGAGCGGGGGGACGGAAGGCCGCGGCAGGTGGAGGTGGTGGCGGGGCTGCAGCTGCAGGCTGCCCGCATGGCTGCATCATGTGTCCGCAGCTGCACATTCATCCACGTAGGATCCAAACATGAGGCTGCGTATCGATCAGAACCGTCGGCTATTGGTAAAGTTCGATAGGATGTAGTTACTGTGAGGTCAGCTGCTGTCGGCGGCTCTGTTGGTTCGCTGATGTTTGATGAATGAAAACCAGATTTGGAGGTTTTCAGGAGTCCGAAGCGGAGTTCAGTCCGGAGTTCTGTTGGACCCGGAGGCTGGTTCTGTTTGTGGAGCTCAGACCACTGCTCACTGTCAGTAACCGTTAATATGCGTTTATTGAGGAAGTCCAAGCTCTGTATTTCTCATTTTCTTCACTGTGGCTCCTTTTTCACGGTCCTTCACTGAAGTCCTGCAGCTCTGTGGAACCAGAACCACAGGAAGGAGGAGACAGAACTCAGACACGTCTTCTGTCAGCAGGACTCAGTCAGAACCATGGAGACCAGAATAAACGTTTATTTGATTGATGTGGTGTAAACCTGGACTCAGCTTGTCTCCAGATGTGACCTACGCTGGAGGACATGGAGGCTCCTCCGTCTGCAGATGTGTCCTCCTTCACGTTCTAGTTTTTACAAACTCTGTTCACCTGAAAACTCTTTTCTTGTTGGTCACGGCTGAGTCGGTCGTGTTTTGTGTTTTTAGTTTTTTCCAGGTTCTGGTTCATGAGAACACTGTTCGGCGAGTTTCTTTTGTTTTCCTGTTGGATCGACAAGTCACAGCTAAAATCTCTCAGTTCTTCTGTTTCTACAGATCCTGGCTGATTAATAGCTTGAGTTGTATAAAGAATGTAAACTGATTGACTGCCTTGACCCCTGTTGTCGGGTTTTGGGGTTCAGAGATCTGACCAGCGTTTTGTCCTCCTGATGGGATTACAGCAGAATGTAGTCTGATTACCCCCAAACCACAGCAGCTCCTGTAAACCTCATGTATATGTGGAAGCTGCTTGTGTTTTTTACAGCTGCGTCTGTGTGACACAGTGACTCTGTTTGTGTTCATGGATCCTGTTCTACCTGGAGACAGACTGTGGACGTCAGCTCACCTGCAGCTCACCTGCAGCTCACCTGCAGCTCACCTGCAGCTCACCTGGACGCTCTGGTGTTTGTAACCCGACTGTGTGTTTAGAAGAAAACATTTTGTTGTTGGTTCATTTTGAATGCAGACACGTGGAATAAAACGCGGTCGATGAAATACGGCAGCTTTAGGCTCATTTGGCTGATTTTCCTACATGTCCCAGCTGTTTGGAAGTCCAGCCATTCTGTCTTTTGCAGTTCTTGGCTCATGAATTGTGTGATCGAGGTGATTTTTGCAACATAACATGAATGTAAAAGCTGTCGGCTGGTTTCAGGCTTCACAGGATTCATTGTTGGATGATTTAATTTGTGAAACGTCTCCAGACAGGGAGATTTATTGGTCTCGGGTCACGGCGATGTCTTCAGGTGACTTGTTCTGTCTGACGTTTACTGAGATATAAACTCTCTCAGATTAATTTTCGATCAAACCAACTAATTGATGGCTCAGCGAGTAGCTTTAGCTTCGGATCCAGCTACCTGCAGAAGAGCAGAAGCTGATGTTTCTGACTGAAGCTACTGATGAGGGCTGCAGTATATCACGACAAAGAAGCTGAGATGTTCAGATGTTCTGAGATATGTCCAAAGACATAAATCTCTACAGCTGAACAGAGCTGCAGCGTTATGGACAGAAAGATCATCAGGATCATTTATGGCCATTATTTACATAGTTTGGGGCTTAAATCTATGTTTATAACCACCTAATGTTGAGCTGCTTTCATGCTGAATTCAGAGAATCTCCTGGAGGCTGACCGTAAGTTAAACTGAACTCCTCCCTGAACAGCTGCTGAGCTGCAGACACTACAGTTTCCAGATGTTCCCTGAACGCCTCACAGCCGTCGGCAGATCCAGACACCGTGCAGCTCTGTGATCGCTGAATCGTTTGATTTGCAGGCAGTCACCTGTTCGTCTCACATGGAGGTGATGCGTTCAGGTGACTCGTTCTGTCCCATGAACTGCACAAAGTTTTCTGAGATCCTAACAGTTACTGAAAGGTCGTTTTTTTCTCCAGTACTGATTATTGATTGTCACACTTAATGAACAAATTAATGGGCGGCTGTGGTTCAGGTGGTAGAGCGGGTTGTCCTCCAATCCCGAGGTTGATGGTTCGATTCCCTCCACAGCCGAGGTGTCCTTGGGCAAGACACTGAACCTGAAGTTGCTCCTGATGGCGGGCAGCACCTTGCACGGCGGCTCTGTTGGTGTATGAATGTGTGAATGAGAAACACACTGCGCGATATAAGAGTTAATTTCCAGGGTTTTTATCAATAAACACGTGAAAACATGAACTATCCCTTTAAAGGAAGCAGTCATGTGATGCAGACATACATTTGGGGCAGGTTTGGACCTGGAACCAGGCAAATCTGTTAATGATATGAATTATTTATTTACAGAATTTCTATTTATTGAGCACTCCATAGGAGAGGCTTGTTTGTCAGCGGCTCACGTCGTCGTTCTTCCAGGCTGTTGGACACAAACTGATATAAAACCCACAGTTTGAATTCTTTATTTGTCAGATCTGAAACTTTGTGTACATTTCATGATGATGTGTTTCCTTGGACCTTATGCACAACGAGCTTTTAGCCTCAAGAAGAACCAAGAATACAAGAATATGTGTATTTTGAAGTGGTTTTGTTGAACGTGGTTTACTCACGCTGTCCTCGGACATACTGAGCCTCCAACAAGCCGCTGGATGAACGACACCAGCTGCTAGTTGGTCAGTGAAACGCTGCAGCTGCTGTCCGTCCTCCAGAGTGACTAGAAAGTGAAAGACAAGCAGGATGACGGTGTCACGGTTGAAGGCCTTGACACCAGAACAGGGTTTTATCCAGTTTTTAACAAACCCACCAGCACTGAGTCTCTGATTCTCACAAACCTTAAGATGTGAAGCTTTATCAAACACTGCTGAACTGTTGATGACTAAATGTTGTCTTCTGATGGTTTTATAATGGTTTTGGACAGTCTCAGTGGTCTCGTGGTGTTTCAGTCTGAACTCCATGTCCCACGATGCTGTGCGCTCACGTCCCCTCCCATGCTCCTCCTCTCTGCCAGGCCCCGTGGCGGCGGCGGCCCCGGAGGCGCCAGGAAGCAGAAAGAGCTGCCGTCGGAGCCTCCGTTCACGGCGTACGTGGGAAACCTGCCGTTCAACACGGTGCAGGGCGACATCGACATCATCTTCAAAGAGCTCAACATCCGCAGCGTCCGATTGGTCAGAGACAAAGAGACAGACAAGTTCAAAGGTCAGCTTTCACTCACATCTCGTGGTCTTCATCATCTCACGTGTTCAAACCTTCTGCTTCAGTTTTTGCTCGTTTTCTAGCGAACCAGTTAAAGTCTGAGTTAGAAAACGGTCTAGACTGAACCAGGTACCAGGTTGGAATGTGTTAGCTGTTGGATTTAGCCTCTTTTTGTACCACCGTGATGAGAACCGAGCAGCTGCACAGGTTCAGGTGGTTCTGATGTGATCGTGTCGTGTTTCTTCTGCAGGTTGGACATCAGTTTGTGTTGATATTTCTCATCTTGTTTGTTCAGTGTTCGTCTCTTTCTCAGGACGGTGTGTGTCTTTATGGTCCGTCTGCGTCTCCACATGGGTTTTGTGTCGTCGTTGTTTGTTTTGCATAGTTTTGTGTCTTGGAGGAGCCCTCTTTGTCTCTGTGGTCTGTGTGCATGTCTGCAGTTCGCATCAGTTTACTTCAACTCTCCTCCTTACTGGAGGATGAACAGCCCGGGTGCTGCTTTAGCACCACGACCGACTGGTAGTTGTTCTTCATGGACCCGGTCAGCGTCTCACCTGCGCTCCGGCCGTCTCTACACCAATCAGCTGTCTATCTGTGGAACACGGCAGCAGCTGATTGGACAGTTTCTCACATTTTGTTGGTCCACAGTGATGCAGCGGCTTCGTGAGGAATGAGCACTGGACAGGTGACTGCTGGTGAAGGTCCCACAGCAGCAGACGGATCAGAACCGAGCAGGCCTCCATCTGCGTCGTATCAGTGAACCAAACTGTTTCTGTCTTTCAGGTTTTTGTTATGTTGAGTTTGAAGATTTGGAATCTCTAAAAGAAGCTTTGACGTACGACGGCGCTGTGAGTATCCAACCGATAACCGATTGATATTGATCCTGATCAGCTGATTTATTCACTGCATCAGGTCAGCCGTGCTAACATGCTAAAGCTAGCCTGACCTCTGACCTGCAGCTGCTCGGTGAGCGAACGCTGAGGGTCGACATCGCAGAGGGGCGGAGACAAGAGCGAGGGGCCGGCGGCTTCGGCTTCAGGAAAGACGAGGGCAGAGGTACGAACACCAACTGGTAACTAACTGGTAACTAACTGGCAACATTAACTG